GTTAAATAGGACGATAGTCTTATTTTTAATTTTTCCTTTCTTATAGGATAATGCCCAATTTTTAAAAATATTGTAGTTGTAGACACTGCATATTAAAGGATGCTCTTATATAAGAACACCCAATTTCTGGTTCTTCCAAATGTCTGTACTATTTCTTACATATGTAATTAAACACCTCAAATTATTGTCATCTGCTAAATTGCATTTTGTAGTATATCTTTAAGTTCCATTTATTTTTTTATTAAGTATTTTCATTATGTCATATAGGGGTAGACAAATTATACTTTGCTTTTAATCATTTTCAGAAACTATTAGAAATTCTAGCAAACTTTCCTTTAATCAATTACCAAATGTACCTAGACAAGTCTAAATACCTTGTACTCCATGAGTAATTTTCTAAGAGATTTCTAATATTGTTATTTCGCTTCTCTCTAGAATTCTGAGGACAAATGAATATCATGCATGTTTGAAAAGAACAGTTATGTATATAAGAAAAGTGGGGTAGATACTATGGCAGCCTCTAATAAATAGTATAATTAGGAATAAGTCTTAAGATTTAGAACTTTTAGAATAAACATATATATATCTTTGATCCTCACAGCTAACACTAAAAAATATGGTACCTACCATCAGCATAAATAAATAAGAACCTATCTACTCTGCAAGGCAGCTATAATTAATGTGGACAAAATACAATGGAATCTGTAGATAACTAATTTTATTTAAGAGAAAGCTATTCTTTGCTTGGAAAAAACAAGTAGTGAACATAATTCAGGAAACCTAAGTCAGCAGGAAAAAAATACATACACGCACACACACAACATACACAGAGAGGAAGAGAGAGAGAGAGAGAGAGAGAGATTAAATCAAAACTATCTAGTTAGAGTAGTGAATTTATCTTTGATCCTGGAACAGGTATTTTTTGCACACACAAAACATTTGAAACATCAGCTGGAGAAAATGATTTCAAAAAGCCTCTAGAAAAAAATCATTAGAGTTTGAAGACATTTTTATTAAAGAAAGAAAAAAAAAATCCTCTTGAAGCAAAGATTTATTTTCTCAATTCACAGATTTTCCTTTTTAAATCCAAACTCACATATTCCAATTCATTTAATCCTAGTCCTCATTGCCATAAATCAATTTCCCCAAAACAGTGCTGACATCTCTTCAGAATATCACAAATGCACAGAAGTTAAATTATATTATGTATCAGAGCCTATAATTAGACATAAATTGTAATATATGTTACAACTTCTTATCACCTGTTATAAATTTCTACTTAATGGTTAAATATTTATTCAATTGAGTATATTTTAATTTTATAGCTGACATTCTAATTTGATAGTATAGCTATGTACCAGGTAACTGATAGCTACAACAGTGACTTTTCTAGATGTAGATTAGGAATATCACACAGAGACTTGAGGTTGGTCAGATGCATCTCAATTTGGTCATTAAGATTTTGCATGATCTTGAGCTAAGCAATTTACTTTACCAATTCTCATTCTCCAAATCTACTTTTGTATATCTATTTTTACAGGTATTATTTATACCTCCTTGGGTAGTAGGAGAATTAATGTAATGTACAGTATATATACTGAGGAGACCATCAGAAAGAAAAGGACAATGAATTCACATCTGTAATGATAACTGTTTACTCAAATGCTAGAGAACAGCAACTACCATGAATTAACATCAATGTCAGAGAAGTGTGAAAGAGGGAAAAACACAAACTTTTTTGTGAAGGTCTGATCCTACACAAAGCATTTAAACAAATATTAAAAAGCAAGATCTGGCCGGGCGCAGTGGCTCACGCCTGTAATCCTAGCACTCTGGGAGGCCGAGGCGGGTGGATCG